TCGGGGTTTGGGGGAGGGTTTAGGGTTTAGGGTTTGGGGGGAGGGTTTAGGGTTTAGGGTTTGGGGGGAGGGTTTGGGGTCTAGGGTTTGGGGTGGCAGGGGGAGATTGGGAAGGGGGTGGAAGGGGATTAAGAAGATATTCAAAATGAGATTAAAATGGAAATTCAAATGGAAATTCAAATGGAAATTCAAAAGCGAAATAAATGAGGAAATAAAAGATTAAAAATAAAAAAGGATTTTAGGAGGAAATTAAAATGGAAATAAACAAGCAGTAAAAGAAAAGACTAAAAAATAAAAAGGAGATCAAAAACAGATTGAAAGGAAATTAAAAAAGATATTAAAAAAGATATTAAAAAGGAGATCTAAAAGGATGTAAAAAGGAATTTTAAAAAGAGATTAGAAGGAGACTACAGGATATTAAAAAGTGATTCCGAAAGATATCAAAAAGAAGACAAAAAAGAGACAAAAATTTGATAAAAGAATAACAAAAAGGGAAACAAAAAAGAGACAAAAAAGAGACAAAAAAGGTAAAAAAGAGGCAAGAAGAGACAAAAAAGGGGACGAAAAGAGACAAAAAGAGACAAAAAGGAGACAAAAAGGAGACAACGAAAGAGATGAAAGGAGATTAAAATGAGATTAAAAAGGAGACAAGAAGAAGGGAAAACAGAGAAGATGTTTACAGCAACATTTTAAGGAGACAATTCAAAGAAAGAAATTTAAAAAGAGACAACTGAAATAAATTCAGAAAATAAATTTAAAAATAAACTCACAGAACAAATTCAAAAAGAGATAACATAAACAAAGCTAAAAGATGTTTAGAGAAGACTTAAAAATTGTAATCGACATTTAAATTAAAACAATCAAAACAAATTGAAAATAAATTAAAACAATTAAAGCGAAATTAAAAATAATTAAACTAAAACAATTAAAACAAAATAAAAAGAGAATTAGAAAGAGACAACTAAAAGATAAATAAATAAAGAGAAAATTCAAAAAGTGACAATTAAACGATAATTAAATAAATAAATAAAAAGAAAGAAAGACAATAAAAGGAGACAAATAAAGAAAAAGATAATCAAACAAAAGATAAAAAGAGACAATTAAATAAAAGACAACTAAATTAAAAATACGCAAAACAAGAGACACCAATCAGCAGCAGCAGCAGCAGCAGCAAAAAGTGATTTCTGCAAACCTGCAAAGTCGAGAGCAGCAAATTCTCAGGTGTCTCCGCATCGACATCCAGGTCCTCCGGCGCACTCGGCTCCTGAAGACAAACCCTAAACCCTAAACCCTAAACCCTAAACCCTAAACTGCTGGGCAAAGTCTGCTGCAGCTCCTCAACAGGTCTCTCGGGCCGCTGATGAGCACGAGAACCGACTCGCTGCTGCTGCTGCTGCTCTCGCTGCTGCTGTTGCTACTGCTGCTTCTGTTGCTACTGCTGCTGCTGTTGCTGCTGCTGCTGCCGCTGTAACTGCTGCTGCAGCTACCAATGCTTCTCCCCCCGCACCTGCTGCTGCTGCCACCACTATCCCTGCTGCTGCTGCTACTGCTGCCACCACTACCCCTGCTCCTGCTACTCAAACTGCTACACCAGCTGCTGCTGCTGCTGCTACTCCAGCTGCTGCTGCTGCTGCTGCTGCTGCTGCTGCTGCTGCTGACCGCCTCGTCTCCGGCCTTGGCCTTGGCAGCAGCAAGTCTGGCCTCCGCTCTGGAGCGAAGCTCTGCGACGACTTTGCCGAGGGACTGGGTGTTGGCGTGTTGGGAGACAATGCGGTACTGGTGGAGTCTGAAAAAGCAAATAACCCATTTACTTATTTATTTATTTTTAATTTATTAATTGCCAAACCCTCGAGAAGATCTACAGACATCCACGCGAGAAAAAACGCGAAAAAAACACGCAGAAACACCCCATATTGACCCCACAAACACCCAGCAGCAGCAGCAGCAGCAGCAGCAGCAGCAGCAGCAGCAGCAGCAGCGTACCCATCTCGCGCCAGGCGCAGCTTGCCCTCATCCACACACAGCTGCACATGGCGCATCATAATGGCCTCCTGCACAGCATCCCACCCCTGCGACCTGCGCAAAAACCCTAAACCCTAAACCCTAAACCCTAAACCCTTGCCAGCGGCGGGAAGTGCAGCGCCAAGATAGCCCCGCAGCAGCAACACTGCTGCTCTACAATCCCAGCACAGCCTCGCAGCAGCAGCAGCAGCAAGACGCGGCGCCTCTGTGCCCCGTTGTCCCTGGGTGCCTCAGCGGCTGCTGCTGCTGCTGCTGCTGCTGCGGGGTCCCCCGCGCTGCTGCTGCTGCTGCTGCTGTTTACTGCGCCGCGCGCTTCCAGCCAAGCCAAAAGCAGCAGCAGCAGCCTGTGGCTGCCGCCGCGGGGGGCCCCAGAGGGCCCCTGCCGCTGCCGCCGCCGCTGCTGCTGCTGCTGCCGGGCAGCAGCAGCAGCAGCAGCAGCAGCAGCGGGAAAGAAGCAAGGGCAGAGGACTGGGAGGCAGCGGACCTGAACCGCCGGTGGCCGATGGCGGAGTGGAGAATGCGAAGCGCAGCATCTTGCTGGCCTATAGAGAGAAGTTCGTTGGCCCTTTTGAGGGCATTTTCGGGTTTTAGAAAAGTTTGCATTATTGGAAATGAAAAGAAAATGCAAAGAGCAGCAAAAAGAGCCGCGAATCGGCGCTGTGGGGTGCGCGGGCCGCGCGCCCGCAGCAGCAGCAGCAGCAGCGGCAGCAGCAGCAGCAGCAGCGGCACCGCCCGCGGCTCGCGAGAATTGCCGAAACACACAAAAACCCTTTTCAAACAGCAAAGAGACACAGACTCGACAAGACAGCCAACCCCTGCAGCAGCAGCCGCTGCAGCCGCTGCTGCAGCCGCTGCTGCTGCTGCTGCTGCGGCTGCAGCCGCAGCCGCAGCCGGTACGCCTGTCCTGGGGCTGCTGCAGCTACGCCGCCTGCAGCTGCTGCTAACGCCGCTTTGCTGCTGTTGCCCACTTTTTGCTGCTGTTAACTGCACCTTGTCGAAGCAGCAGCAACTGCAGCAGCAGCAGCAGCAGCACCCCCGGACCCCACCGCTAGCCTCCAGCATGCGCCGGATCACTCGGTGCACCGCAACTCGTGGCTAACCCTAAACCCTAAACGCTAAACCCTAAACCCTAATCTAGTGGCTGCAACAGACCTCGCTCCAACCCTACTTTCAATTGAAGACGGTGCCGCGGCCGTTCGCCGCTGCTGCACTGACGGCTGCTGCTGCTGCTGCAGCAGCTGCAGCGGCTGCAGCTGCACACTGCCCGCCCCTGTCGAGTAGAACCTAATTGTATCAAACTGTTATTCCCTTTAAAAAGTAATTAATTATAAATCAATAAATAAACCGATGTGCAGCGTCGCCAAGATTGCCGCTGCTGCCGTTGCTGCTGCTGCTGTTGCTGCTGCTTCTGTCGTTGCTTCTGCTGCTGTTGCTGCTGCTGCTGTTGCTACTGCTACTGCAACAGCCCCAGAAACGCCAGGGCGGCCGCAGCAGCAGCTGCAGCACCCCCCAGCTCTTTGCACTGTAGCGTAGGATGCTGCACCCATCACACAGCAGCAACTGCAGCAGCAGCAGCTAATGCTGCTGCTGCTGCTGCTGAGCCTTCGAGTCCCTTGCACTGTTCAGTTAAGTGCCGCAACTAACCATCAACCGGCAGAAGCAGCAGCACCAGCGGGAACAATAGCAGTAGCAGGAACAGCAGCAGCAGCAGGAACAGCAGCAGCAGCCGGAACAGCAGTAGCAGCAGCACCAAGAAAAGAAGTTACTGCCAGAGAAGCTCAAATGTCGGTTTCGTTCGGGGTAATAAACGACCTGTATGGACACCGGAGGGGCAGCGCTGGGGGCCTAAACCCCAAACCCTAAATTAGGGTTTGCTGGCGCTGGGTGTGTTGCGTGACTCCGCAGCACAAGCCTCAGGTGCACAGTCAGCAGCAGCTGCTGCTGCTGCTCTGCCCTGCTGCTGATTCAAAGGACACTTGTTCGGGTGTATGGGCAGCTGCTGGGGTGTATAGGCAGCTGCTGCAGTGTATAGGCAGCTGCTGCGGTGTACAGGCAGCTGCTGCTGCGGTGTCTCTACTGCTGCTGAAGTGTCTGTGCAGCTTCTGGGGTGTCTCCGCAGCTGGTTGTGGGGTGTCTCTACAGCAGCAGCAGCAGCAGCAGCAGCTGCTGCTGCTGCTGGGCTGTCTCCTTACTGCTGCTGCTGCGTCTGTACAGCTGCTGCACTGTCTCCTTCAGGGCTGCCAGCCCGGCAGCTGCAGCTGCAGCTGCTGCTGCAGCAGCCGTTGCTGCTGCTGCTGCTGCTGCTGCTGCCGGTGGTCATGCCTGTGCCTGAAGGGGCCCCTGCTTGCTGCTGGCTTGGCCAGGGGGCCCCCCAAGGGGGGCCCCCCGGCCCTTCTTTGCTGCAGCTGCAGCACATAATGGTCAAGTTTATTTTCTAGAGTAAACAAATGGGAAAAAGCTGCTGCTAGCTGCTGCTGCAGCTCCCCCACTTGCTGCGCTGCTGCCTTGTAAGCTGCTGCGCTCAGGTTACCGGGGCCCCGTGTTGTTAGGGACCCCCTCCGCTTGCTGCTGCTGCTGCTGCTGCTGCTGCTGCGCAGGTGCTGCGGCAAAGAGCCCTCCACGAAGGAAATCAGCGAGGCCTGTGCTGCTGCTATTCTGTCGAGATACAGCAGCAGCAGCTGCTGCTGCTCCGTCTCCCGCACCCTTTCCACCTCTGCTGCTGCTTTCTCTGCTGCTTTTTCTGCTGCTGCTGCTTCTGCTGCTGCTTCTGCTGCTGCTTCTGCTGCTGCTGCTGAGCCAGCTCTGTCTTCGCAGAGTCTTTTGAGCGTCTTTAGTCCTCTTGCTGCTTTCCTCATTTTGTCCGCTGCTGCTCGCACCTGCAGCAGCACCTCATTTGACGGCTGCTGCTGCTGCTGCTGCTGCTGCTGCGGGGCCTCCAGGGGGCCCCTGCTGGACCCAGGGGGGCCCCCCGGAAATAAAGACAAGGCATTAAAAGCTGCGTTGCATGCGCGTTCCCAATCTAAGGAATCATTTTGTAGCTGCTGCGTCAAAAAACGATAAAAAAGTTCCGAGTCTTCCTGCTGCTGCTGCTGCTGCAGCTGCTGCTGCTGCTGCAGCTGCTGCTGCTGCTGCAGCTGCTGCTGCTGCTGCTGGTCATCCGGAAGATCGAGCCGTAGCGGTTGCTGCAGCTGCTGTTCCTGCTGCTGCAGGTCAGGAAGGTCGAGCTGGAGCTGCTGCAGTTGCTGCTGCTTCTGCGCATCCGGGGACTCGAGCTGCTGCTGCTGCTGCTGCTGCTGCTGCTGCTGCTGCTGCTTGGGCGCGAAAAGGCTGTTTGTAGCCGTGTTCAGCAGCACCTGCACCAGCAGCACGAACCCCACAGCTGGCAGCAGCATGTTGACCACGGGCCGCCGGGTCTCCTTTTTAGATCCTGCTGCTGCTGCTGCTGCTCCTGCTGCTGCTGCTGCTGCTGCTCTCTTCCCGTGCCGCCGGGGGGGCCCCGGAGACGGGCTCCGGTGGCGAGGGTTTATTGGGTACGCTGTGGTCTCATCTGAGTAGCTGCTGCTGCTGCTGCTGCTGCTGCTGTTGGTGTCGTCAGCAGCAGCAGCAGCAGAGTAGAGCCACGAGTTCAAGGGCCCCGTCTGCGTCACTGCAGACTCTCCGTAGAGGTCCCCCTCCATTCTAAACCCCAAACCCTAAACCCTAAACCCTAAACCCTAAAAGCAAAATCGTAAACCCTAAGTGCGAAGTCCACAGATCCCAAACTCTCAGCTTCGGCGAGTTGGGGCCCCTCCTCAAGAGGTGGGCTGTGCACGGACTGGCAGCCCGCGATTAGGGTTTAGAGTATAGGGTTTAGGGTTTAGGACCCGGGGGGTTGAGAAAAGATGGAATTATTAATTCCCACTTCCCTAATAAACTCGAAGAAGAAAAAAATAAAAAGGGAAGCAGCAAAGGACCGCCAAGTCGAGACCGGGCAGGTGGGCGCGGCGTTTGCGACGGAAAACCCTAAACCCTAAACCCTAAACCCTAAACACTGAACCCTAAACCCTAAAAAGTAGTTTTAACATTTTAAAACTTCAAATTTGCTTACTTGGCCCCACGAGGCCAATTAACCCCCAAAAGCGAGTGCCGAACGCCGCTCTCGGGGAGCAACAGCCCCGATCTGCGGTGCAACGCTCAACCCTAAACCCTAAACCGTAAACCCTAAACCCTAAACCCTAAACCCTAAACCCTAAACCCGAACCCTCACTCTCTAACATAACGGTGCGATTCCTTAAAACTGAGAGAAGGTCGTTGTTTCCGTGGGAGCGTCTTTTTAAGCTCCACGTGCTGCTGCTGCGGCTCGCCTGAGCAGCAGCAACAGCAGCAGCAAGCCTGCAGCAGCAAATCTGCAGCAGCAAACCAGCAGCAGCGCAGCAAGAAGCGTCTAAGCCCAGACGAGGGGCTTCACACAGGCCCAGACATGCTGCAGCAACTGGCCAGGGCCAACCCCACAGCTAGCCACAGCTAGCCACAGCTAGCCACAGCTGGCAGCAGCTAGCAGCAGCTAGCTGCAGCTAACTGCAGCTAGCAGCAGCTAGCAGCAGCTAGCCAGAGCCACTGGGTTTGAAGCGCGCAGCAAACTTGCTGTTTGTCTTGCAGCTTTTTCTTTGGAATAATGAAAATAAAAAGACAAATAAATAAAAGCAAATAAAAAATAATTCGAATTAACAAAAAGATAAAAAGTTTAATTCAAATTAAATTATTTTAATAAGTGCTGGAGGTGCAGCAGCCCAACTAAGCCCACAAGAAAGTAGAAAAAATATGAATAAGTAATTGAATATTAAATAATTGAATAATTAAATTATTAAATTAATAAATAAACAATGAAATTATCAAAATCCAACAATTATAAATACCAGTTGAAAGTGTACATGCACGCCAAGTGTAGCTGCATCTGCGGCATATTTTCGGAACTGCAGAAAATGGAAATTTTGAAATTACATTTTAATGAATATAAATAAATTTTGCTAACTTTTATTACATTTTGTTGCATTTTATTGAATTTTGCTGCATTTTTTTTCATATGCATATATATTTTGGAGAAATTAACTTCATTTGGCTAAGTTTTATTACATTTTATTACATCTTCCCAAGATCATTGCACCAAGTCGTGCATGCATGCATGCTTTATTTTGTCTAATTAAATGTTATTAAAATTAATTACATTTTTTTTTAATTTAATTGCTTTTTATTGCAAAGACAAGCGTCTTTTAACGCATGGAAAGTATTTGGTAAAATTGTGTTTCATTTCATTGAACTCTGGTGCACTTCATTGAATTTTGCTGCATTTCGCTGCATAGACATGAATATTTAATTGCATTTAATTAAATTTATTGAAATTTACTTAATCACATTTTACTTAATTCTCGTTTTTTCATTTTTAAATATATAAATGCAAATTTGAACACAGAAATAAGTGAAAAAGGACACAAGACAAGAAATGCCCAGACACGAGAAAGACCCCAAAAGACATATAAATAAGCAAACAAATAAACAAATAAATAGACAAACTAATTAATTAAATTATTTAATAATATATTTGGACTTGTAAAAGACTTCCGTGTTTGCGTTCTCTGGGGGCCTCGCAGCTCTTGCAGCAGCCTTGCCGTTGCTGTCTACACAGGGCCCGCAGTAGAAGCAGCAGCAGCAGGTGTTACTGCTGCTTTTGCTGCTGCTTTTGCTGCTGCTGCTGCTGCTGCTGCTGTTGCTGCCGCTACGGGGGCGCCTGGTTTTCAATGATGGGACCATCGGCCAGCAGCCACCCGACCCCGCGTGCTATCGCTGCTGCTGCTGCTATTTCTGCTGCTGCTGCTGTTTCTGCTGCTGCTGTTTCTGCTGCTGCTGCTGCTGCTGCGGCTTCTGCTGCTGCTGCTGCTGCTGGTAGGACTAGCTCGACGGCCCTAGCGGTAGCTCCAGAAGAGCTGCAGCGGGGACCAAGTGAAAGCACTTTGCTGCTTCATATTTACTATTTATATTTTTATTTATTCATATTTATTTATTTTCATCTATATATTCAATATTTATCTTCTCATCTTCCTCTCTCTGCTGCTTCTCTCAAATCTTGTACGCCGAAAACCATTAAACGGGTGCTGCTGCTGCTCGCTCTGTTGCTGCTGTTGCTGCTGCAGAAGCTGCCGCTGCAGCTTCTACAGCAACAGCCCGCACAACAGTATCAGCCACTACTGCTGCTACTGCAGAGAAGCAGCAGCAGCACTAGCAGAAGCAGTACGTTTTGCTGCCAGCTGCAGATGCTATTGCAGCAGCAGCACGCTGCAGCAGCAGCAGCAGCAGCAGAGGCTGCTGCTGCTGCTCCTGTCATCCCAGCCTAGTTACGGCAGCTGCAGTGTTTGCTGCTCCTAAGATTTAATAATGAGTGCCGCAGTAGCGCTTGCTGCTGCAATTGAGTTCTTGCTGCTGCTGCAGCATCTTGTGTTGCTGCTGCAGCAGAAGCGACATTTTCTCTGCTGCTTCTGCTGCAACATCGATTGCAGCAGAAGCAGCCGCTGCTGCCGCAGCAATTGCAGCTATAGCAGCTGCTGATACGCTGCAGCTTGTGCCTCTTAACGGTAACAATTGGCCGTGCTGCTGCTGTTGAAGCAGCAGCAGCAGCAGCAGTACGTTTTGCTGCTAGACTTTCGCTGTTTCCAGCCCTCAAGGCTAAGGAGAGCCGCATATCGCTATTTCTTTCCTGAGGCAAAATGATAAAACTATAGTTCCTATTTGTCCTGCTGCTGCTGCGCCAATTGCTGCAGCAGCAGCTGCTGCTGCTGCCGCGCCAATTGCTGCAGCAGCAGCTGCTGCTGCCTCTACCAGTGCATTTGACGGTCCCAGTGCTGCTGCTGCTGCTGCTGCTGCGGCTGCTCCCACATTGTCGCGTGCTGCTGCAGCTCGTTCGGGAGGTCTTGCCAGTCTCGCTGCTGCAGCCACCTGCCCTCCTGGGCTTCCTGCTGCTGCTGCTGCTGCTGCTGCTGCTCCTGCTGCTGCCTGTGCTGCGCAGGCATTTCGTCCTCAAGCTCCCCTTTCGCCTTCAGCTGCTTAAAAAAGGTCTGGTGGTCTATGGGGGGCCCGTGGCCCTCCACTACCGTCCCTGAACAGCCACAAACCCTAAACCCTAAACCCTAAACCCTAAACTCTAAATTGTAAACGCTAAACCCTACAGCATGCCGGGTACCCATAGTGTCGCTTCAAAGCGCTAAAGCTTCGACACGGACAAATTCAATCTGCTGCTGTTGCTGTTGCTGCTGTTACTGTTGCTGCTGCTGCTGCTGCTGCTGCCCACCGTCTAGCAAAGTCTCTGAAGGCTTTGCGTGCATTTTGGCGCAGAGAAGGGCACCCAATGAAGGCGGCAGCTCCTGCAGCAGCAGCAGCAGCAGACGCACAGCAGCAGCAACCGGTCGCACAGATTGGGGGATTCAATTTGTTGCTGCTGCTGCTGCTGCCGCTGCTTTTGCTTGCGGCTGCGTCTGCAGCTAGCTAGCTATCCCCATGACCCTCCAGCCAGCTGGCCAGCTAGCCAGCGAGCTATCCAGCCAGCCAGCTAGCTAGCCACCCAGCTGGCTAGCTGGCTGGGCAGCTAGCTAGCTGGCTGGCCAGGTAGCAGGCCAGCTAACCACCCAGCTAACTACCTAGCTAGCCACCCAGCTACCCAGCAAGCTACCTAGCCGGCCCGCCAGCTAGCCAGCCAGCCAGCTAGCCAACCAGCTAGCTAGCTACCTAGCTAGCTAGCTAGCTAGCTAGCTAGCGAGGGCCTCACGGTGCCGTCTCTGCTTTTCTTGAGGGGCAAGTCCCCGTTCCAGGGATTGGTGACTCGGCCCATGTCTTCGAAGTCCGCTCTGCATTGCTTCAGCCACAAGACCCGGAAGTTGGGGCCCAGCTTCAGCTGCACCGAGCCCCACAGCCCTGCAGCAGCAGCAGCAGCAGCAGCAGCAGCGGCGGCGGCGGGGCGATGCGCGCAGCAGCCAAAGGGCGCGAAGCCCAGGCGCAGGAGCCCGGGAGACGCAAAAATGGGCAGAGAAGCGGCAGCAACAGCAGCAGCAGCACAGCAGCAGCAGCAGCACAGCAGCAGCAGCAGCAGCACAGCAGCAGCAGCAGCAGCAGCAGCAGGCTTGCCGGGGTAGAGGTGGGGCAGCGGGGGCGTCATCATGCGGGCAAAGCCCTGGAAGCCGCCGCTCTCGTTCGCAGAGAACAGCAGCAGCACATGATCAGCAGCAAAAAAAGCTGCTGTCAGCTTTTTGGTGTTGCTGCGGCTGGTGGCCCAGGCGCCGCGGTGGACGGAGAGACAAACGTTGGCCATTTTGCTGCTCTTCAAGATGAAGAACCTTTTGCTGCTGCTCGCTGCAGCAGGAACTCCCCACGCGTCCACCAGCAGCGGCACGTACACGCCTTCGCTGCTGCTGCTGCTGCTGCTGCTGC